AAAAAAAAAAAAAAAACCCACCGTCCATTACTGGAAGCCTGAGTCAGAATTACCAGAAGGAAGCTGGACAGAAGAGCTATTTTCAGTGCCAACAAATCTGGAGAGCAGGTGAAACATCTCCACCTACAAATCCGAGCTCGGGGTGAATGCGGCTGCTTGGGCCAGAAGGGCCCAGACCCTGCGGGAGGACACGGGAGGACGCGCTGGTCCCCGCTGCGGCCCTGGAAGCTAATGCAGGTCTGTCTGCATCTCACCATCCTCAAGATGCAACTCGTTGCTCTCCCAGCTCAGCACACAGCTCTCAAGCAGCTTTCCACCTCGGCAGCACGAAGGAAGCGAGAGAAGCCCTGGGTGTTGGAGCACTCTGCAGCAGCCACACAGCTGAGATGCCGCGAGAGCGGGAGCTGCACCGGGCGCCGAATCCCCCTGTTCCAGACCAGCCTGTATGGCCTCTTCCTTCACCCGATCTCGTTCCCTTCCCAAGCCGACCTTCTCCTCAGTCTCTGCTGCGTAGCGAGGAGCATGAACATGCAAGAACACCGGCACGGGGCAGGAGGGACAATTGCACAACCGAAGCTTTGATATTACTGCTTTTTCCCTTCTTCCTCCTCCTTGCCTTATTCACTCTTCTGCACCAACTTGCCACGACTTCAGAGGCAAAGGAAACAGGCACCTTTGGCTTACAAACCATCCCCTCTCCACATAAACGAACTGCTATGTATTGAGCTGGGAGAAGGCTGTTTCCTTTTAAAACATGCCATGAATGAGTTAAGACGAATAAAACTCACCAGCAGGTCACAGAAATTCTAGCTACAAGCTTCAGAGGCAGGGCCAGGCTTCTCTGATCTAAAAATGCTGCAAACTCTCGTGAGACAGTTGTGAGAAAACAGCAGGCATTACAAGAACTATTTTTAAAAGGCATTTCACAACTCCCATTTATGCAACTGTGTTTTGTCTGCTAACTCCTGAAAATATTTAACTGCATAGTAGTTCTGCCCTCTATACCTATTCCTGGGATGATTAAACACATCCAGCATTTTCTATACATCTTCCTCTGTTATCCGTAACCGCTTTCATGGCGTTTGCCATTTCCCCCTCAATCACAAACACTCCCCTGAGGGCTTCAACATCTGGCACGTGACACAAGAGCCCTTTACTGAACTTCAAGCCCTCCAGCAGGGTTCTGGGGCGCTTTTCTGCAGTTTTCCTCTACCCTCCTTTGAGCAGAGACTCTCTAAATGGTTTGCACGCTGCCACGAGGCATCGGGAGCGTCCCCGCCGGCGCTGATAACATGGGGAACGTTCCGGGAAGGAGCCTTTGGCTTTGCTCCTGCCTCAGGATTACGCAAGGGAGCAAAAAACACTGGTGCCGGTCCCACATGGGTCTGGCAGCACCTTCCAGCGAGCTGCCACCCCACAGGAGAGCGAAACCAAAGTCTGCCTCGCGCTTTGTCAGGAACCTTGAGCTCTGCCTAAAACAACAATCACCTTTGTAAACAGAAAGCAAAGATTAGACAACACTGAGAATAGCCAGCGATTCTTTTCCAAAGGGAAGTCCAGGGAACTCCCTGGCCTCTGAAGCTACGGGGGGCTGGACAAGGAAGGCCAGGGGGCCGCGAGCAGCTGCGAGATGCGACCAGCTTCTCACCTGCCTCCCTTACACTGCATTTAGGAGCAGGTTTTGCCCCAAGTCTTTGCTGTATATCGCACGGATACAAAACCACAAGGTTTCACAGGCATCACAGACCTCGAGCAGAGTTCACACACTTAGAAACAGTATTAAGAAATTTTATTTCTATAATGATTTAGGCTACTGTGTAAATAAATAACAGGAGAATAGGAGAAATAAGGCATAGGCCTTCTACATCCTGAGGAATGTAACTGTAACAACCAGCCAACTTCCATCATGGAAATTCAAAGTCTGACACACAACTAACAGCAACACACGTCTAAAAACACAGCAGAGCCTCATAACACAAGAGGGACTCAAATGCAGACATGCCAAGTTGCCTCTGGAGCATTCACATTGAGTTAAAACTATACTAAAATAAAGCCCATTTGGGCATTCAGTGAGACAGTGGGAGGCAGCAGACGTGCACAGCATCTACTGCATGAGGAGCACGGCTGGCAGCTGCTAGCAGAGCCCGCTAACAGGTTGTGCAACAGTGAGCGAGAAGTTCCAGCACACGAGGGAAAGCAGATGGCAGGAGCCCGGTTAAACCACACAGGATCCTATTCTACTCTGAGCCTTCCAGGAGGTCACATGCTCAGGAGAACGCAGGCTCTTCTATGTCCTGCAGGGACTTGGACTCACAGTAAACACACATGGATCGTCTTAAACCGAGACAGAATTCGGTTGCTAGTCATTGTTACTAAAATATTGGCCATGAAAAATAAACATGGAGCAGCTGCCACTAGGGACAATTAATGACCTAAGTCACTACATTCCTCTTGGAGCCCATCTCTGTAGGACAACCAAATTCTCCATAGCCGCCCACTTGGGACCTGCTCTAGGGACACATCTTGCTTGGGATGCACCTACCTGCCACTGCTGCCAGAAGGAACTAACGCTTCCCTAACACTGAGGGAGGGCAGGTGTCCCTTAGAGGATGTCCCGGTTCCTGGAGGCTGAAATACGTACAAACACTTCACCCTTCCCCTCCTCGAGCAAACCGGGCAATAGGGAAATCACATCCCCACACTGCAACCTCACCCCTGCGAGGAGCCAGGTTGGCTTCTTAATTCCTTGATGAAAACACCAAAACACCATGGGATGAAACCTGCACTATTTCATGCCTGATGGGGAGGAAGGAAGAGGAAGCAGCCTCTACCTCTATTTGGTTCTGCTGCGGCGGGTTTATATCCCATAGTGTTGGCACATGGTTCAGACTGTCGGCAGGCAGGAAGTCCTTAGGATCCGCGATGTCGGAGAGGGAATCCGCTGGGGACGAGAAGAGGGAGTTGTTGTTGGAGAGCTCATCGAGGTACGAAGAATCCTGAAACACAAGAAACGTTCACAGTTAGAAGAGACAGCAAAGAGAAAGTGGGGAGCTCCTCCTCATACCTGCTCACCCAGAAGCTCTAGGTCCTTGCTGTTGCCTGCACAGCTTTGGCTCCCTGTGCCCCACAACCCTTGGAAATTAGCTCAGAAATGAAGACCTGTCCTAAGCAGCAGCTGGGCTGAAGTCCCAGCTTCTTGACTTAGCAGGAAGCCTGAAGGGACAGAGATGCTGCTGCACGTTGAAGACCAGCTTGGCACGTTCCCACGTGCGAGTGGGAATGTTCCTCATTTCACCTGTGCACCTGATAATGCCAAGTGCTGGGCAGTCACCAGTCATCGCCCTGCGACCCAGGTTCTCTCCACCGGCAGTAGGACACGGACAGAAAGCCTCAGCTCTTCCCTCATGGAAACCCAGCACAGAGTCGGCTGCTCACAGCCCAGCGGGACACAGAGGCTCATGGAAGCCCAGGAGACGCCAGCTCGAGTGTGACTCTGTCGGCACAGGCTGACCCAACAGGGACTTTTACAGGGTCAACGGCCGCAAACGCAGAGACCGAGAGCGGCTGCCCGTGGTCCCACCAGCAGCCTGGGGTTTTCATTAAAGTTCAAGCACCAGCAACACACGGGAACACGGACACCAGGAGTGCAGGAGGTGCTCCAGCACGGGGCCCAACAAACCAGGAGTAATCGTTTGCTCAGGAGCAATCAGGATAACCACTTATATTCACTTACTCCTGAATAATCAGGAGTAATTACTTTGAAACCAGGACCTGTGGTCACTAAGAGAGGCTATAACAGCACCCCAAATTGCCAACACTATCCCCGAACAGAGAAGTTACCAAAACCAAGAACTAACCCAGAAAAGATCACCAAAACATCAGGAGCAAGAAGCCCAAAACACCCATTCCTCCTTCTTCCAATCCCCAGAAACAGCTCTGCCTCTTTCATTATTTTTAACAAAGAACTTGTTTTGACTGAAGAACAGGTGAAGTCTAAATACAGGGGGAGAGCACATCCCCAGAATACTTCTGGCCATCAAGCCATCAACATAAACAGTCTATTCGCTCACAGTCCAGAGCCACCAAGGCACAGAGGGAACAAATGCCCTGTCCACGCAGCAGCTATCGCTGCTCGACCAGACCTGCTCTTGCTGGGGCTTCCGAACGAACATGCAAACAAACACATAAACACACACAGATAAATATTCACGTGCAAACAGACCTACCAAGCCAGACAAGAAAGATTGGGTTTCTCAGCAATCACACATTAAGCAAAATGTGCTTTGGATAAGACAGAAACAAGAATGAGAAAACAACCAACTGTAGCACAAGCTGTCAATTATTAAAGGAAATCTTCTAGCCCCCCAAGCAAAGTCTTTCTAGATAGGGGCAATAAGCCGGCAGTCAATAAACTCGTAGGGGTCAGTACAACGGCTGGCCACCACTTCCTTCACATTGCTGCACACATCTGGCTTAAAGTAAAGCTCCTGATACCCACTGCACCCATGGGCACATGAGCTCTCCAGGCGGCTCCTTTTGCTCCTTCAGCAGCAGAACAAGTCTCCGGGTTCCAGGTGTTTCAGCACGGTGCAAATCACAGGTCAGAACTGAAAAGTTCTCCCCCTCATAGGGAGAACTAGCAAGGAAATGTAAGAGAGGAAGGAAGGGGGAAAAAAAAGGAAAGCAAGAGGAGCGGCGTTACCTTGTAGAGAGACGGGAGCTTCGGCCAGAACTGCATCTGGGACATTTTAGCGGGGCAGCGGCGACTGGCGCATGACGGCGGCGCTGCGGCGGGCGCCGGGCGCCGTGCGGGGCGGCCGCGCTCGCGCCCCGGCGCACTTCCTCTGAGCGCCGCGCGCTTTCAGGAAATGATGCCTGCTCCGGGAGGCAGCGGAGTTACCGGCAGCGCGGCCAGAATTACTGTACGTGCTGTAATCCAACCACAGGAGGCCGTAAACACAGCCCCGCGCCCGGCCCCCGCCAGCACCCGCCGCCTCTCCGAGGGGCCGGGGCCGGCTTCTCCCGCTGTCCTGGTGATCCGGGGGGCTCCCCTGAGCTGACCAGCCTAGAAGAGGCTATGGGGAGCACTAAAACTTTTCTCTATTTCCCCCCCCTTCTTTTTTTTTTTTTTCCCCCTCTCTTTTAAACAGCCAAGGGTGTCTTCACTAGCCAAACACTGTAATTGGAAACCAAAAAGGAGTAGCCAAGTTCCTGATTTTCTACTCTAGCCGCTTCTTTTTTTCCTGGGGCTAGGAGCGTTGCTTTCCTTTCCCAGAGACTTTATTCTTAACCTGTTTTAAGAGTTTTGGTAGCAGCAAGAGGTGACGTTTCTGGGGGCACAGAGAAGCGCCCCAAGGAGGGGGACGGCGCCGGGGTCTCCACGTGGGGCCCGGGGCTTTCCCGGCTCCGCACTCCAGCCCGGCCCGCGGCGCTCCCGGGAACACGCCTGAGTGCTGGGAATGCCGAGGCGGGAATTCTCGGAAACCAGGGCGCTCGGGAGCAGGAGCTACGGAGCCTGCGCAAGGAGGTGGGAGAGGCTTCCGAGCAGGGAGCAAAGCGCTGCCCGGGGAGGCGGCCGCCCCGAGCCCCGTCCCCAGCAGGGCCAGGGCCGCGCACAGGGCCGCGCTGTGTCCTGGGCTCCCGCGGGGACACGGACACATCGGCTCTGCGGCAGCTGCCCTGGCCTGGAGACGGGCAGCGGGTTTCACTGCTGCTCTTAGGCGGATTTGGTTGCATTTAATTAGCTGCTCCTGCCCTGGCGCCTGCGATCGGTGCTTTAACAGGTTCGAAGCAAAAGGCCAGATACGTTTTTGTAAAGACATTTTCCCTCTGGAGCCGCTGCCCGAGCCTAAGCAAAGGACTGGAAATCCGTGAGGTGACGGCTGCTCATCAGGGCATGGGGACAGGGACAAAGTCTTGCAGGTGCTCGCAAAAATGGGATGAAACCAGAGCGTGGCCAGGGCAGCAAGATGCGTTAATCTGGGCAATAGCAAACATACGTGAACAGGAGAAGGAAAGTGTCCAAGGACCCTGTTCCCAGCCGAGGCGAGCGAGCGCCCCGGCAGGACGGGGTCGGGCTGAGTTTGTCCAAGTGAAGGGCACTCGAAGGAAAGTCTCCAAGGACGGCGCAAGGAGGAACCTCTGTGGGTCCTGCTGCCCGTGGCTCTAGGTGGAAGCAGAGACAGGGAGCCTCGCTTGACCCCAGTGACTCAGACCGATTCTGCTTTGAATTAAAGTGCCTATTTTAAAACATTTCCCAGCGGCTTGCTATTAAGTTATATTACTGGCATTTTTTAAGAGCACGCCGTGTTTCAAAATAGACTTTTTCCCGCTTTTGTCAGCTGCAGAGCAGGGAGGAGGCAGAAAGCGGCTGGCCAGGGGCATCTCGCTGGAAGGGTTTTTAAAGCTCCACTAAGTCAGGCCAAAGCTCCAGGTCCAAGGTGCAAATCCCGAGTTTGGAGCCCCTGAAGCAGCTCCCAACACGCCAGACTGGCCATCGTCCTTGCACTGAGCTTAATACCTGCATTCCCTCAGGACACAGCTCCAGAACAGCGATTGGAAACCCCGGGAGGCTTCTTATTCCAGGAAGCTCTTCATTTCACCCGGAGTTGAGTCTTTCATATAATTTAATAGCTGTTACATTGATTTCTCTTAAATCACCCCAGCTGTGTGCAACGAAGCACTTTTAAAAGTTATTATCTTTTCAAGAGCAGGTTGGGTTTTTTTCCCCCCTTTTTATCAAGAAAGATTAATCTGACATTCCAAGAAGGTGGTAGCAAAGAAAGAGGGGCCCTGTTCCCAGTCCCTGCCCCGGGCACTGTGGGCAGTGGATGGAGCCAGCAGGAACTGGGTTCTGCGGTGCCGCTGCAACGACTGACCCGCAGCAGCCAAGTGCTCCCTGCAACCAAAACCAGCACAGAGAAGAATGCTGGTGGCCAAGCAAGGAAACATCCCAGGGCCCTACAGCCCTATACTCTGCTAGGGCAGGTTGCTCCGCAGAGCGGAGTGCGGCTCCAACCACACACGTGCCAGGGGATGAAGCCTGCCCGGGTCAGCGTTTCGCAGGGCTGATGAGGGGCCACCCGAGCTGGAGGTTCTTGGGGTGCCAAGGCCGCTCTGCCAAACATGGGCCCCAGCTCATGGGGTCCCCTCGGCTTCCCGGCACCCCCCGACTTCAGGTTTTGAGGCCAGAGGAAAAAACAGCAGAAAGGGAGAAAAGCTACGGACACCAGAATCCTGCTTTTCTGAGAGTCTGGATACCCAAGGACACATACACCCTTTTCACGAGGAGATGCCACTACATGGTCCAGGTCAGGCTCTGACTAAGGGCAACAGCTCCCAACATCCAGAAACGCTACCAGCCCCAATACGGCCTCATATAACTATTTTCTAAACCGTAATTTAAGCCACTTGTTTATATTAAGGATGCCAACAGACTCGCACTGATGAATCATGCTGCAGCAGGCCAAAACCCAAAAATGCTGTGGAGGAAACAGATTCCGACTTTTCCGAGCATGCAAGCACAGCAGCTGCTCGGTCTGCAGGAGGCTGCTGGGATCCGCATGGAAACCCCTTCTCGCCAGCCTGAAGCTCTTAATGATTCAGTTAAAAAGAAACTTCCCGGATAGTTAAGGGCAGCAGCTCCCCCTCTCCTCACCCTTGAGGGCGGCAAAGATCGGGGCTACAAGGACAGTTCAGCCAAGGACCTCCCGGGCAACGGGCAGGGAAGATGGGGAGCCAAGTGCTAGGGCTGAAGGAAAAGGCTTCTGCTCCCTCAGCTCCCTGTCATGCCCCAAATCTAAGGCCCAACAAGTTTCAGCTCATCGCCACCGGCAGAAAGCATTTACTGCACAAATACCTCAACAAAATCATTAGTCACTTGCTCTTCAGACCTTTTAAATCCATTTTCAGTATCACGCACATTCCTGGAAAACCCTTTAAAGAGACAAGCTGCCAACATGCTTAATGCAGCCCGAGGCCAGGCTGGGATCCCAGGGACCTTACGGGGAGGGGACGCTCTGCGCTGGCTGCCAGCGTGACCGAGTATTTGGAAAGAGGTGAGAGCCGCCCGTGGTGCCACCACGGCCCCAACACGGCCACCGCAGCCCCAACACGGCCACCGCGGCTCTCATGCCAGCTCTGCCCGCGGCAGGCTGGTGGGAAGCTCTTACCGGAGCCCGCAGCCAACCGCTCATGTTCTCCCTTCCGACCCGCTGCTCTCCGCATGGCCCCGACCGCGCCAAGTCCAACAGGACTCGCCAGTAAAGACAGGGACTTTCCTGCCCCGTCACCTGCAAGGAGGGGACTCTGAGAGCCGGTCCCCACATGTCCCGAGTGGCGTCTCTTGGCTCCTGGGCAGGGTGTTAATATTCAACAGTTTGGCATCTGGGACTGCCAGAAATCAGTAGGGTGGAAGATACTGTTGAAGCGAGAAATGGAAAAGCTCCAGGACACCCCTGGATGACTCCGAACCGCTGCCGCTGCCCCCAGTTACCTGCCTGCTGCTCTAAGAGATCCAGCTGTCTTTGAATGAGCAATGACGAGTAGTTTAGGAAAATTCAAGGTTTTGTCAACTGATTTCCATGTTAGTGGAGACCAAAAAGTCTGGCTCTGTTAACAGCTGTCCAGGAAAAAAAAAAACCTAAAACCCCCACAAATTCAAAGAGCATCAGCTGCCCAGGTGTCCTGAGGTGCTCTCACAAGGGCAGCTCCCCGCAAAGCCCTTCCAGGCTCCATCTAAAGCAGCCGAAGGCAGAGGCCGAGCAGAGCCCACTGAGCCTGGGAGCAGGGGAGGCCGCTTCACAGGTGCTTGTGGCGTCGCCAGCCGCAGGGAGCAGCTCAAGGAGCCCGGCCAGGAGCCGCGCTCGGGGCCGCTCCGCAGGGCCCCCGGGCTCGGGGTCTCAGCCAGCGCCGCCAGGGTTGGAGCTGCAGGGATGGAAGATGGAAATGGTGCTTTGAGACACAAAGGGGCACCAAACGGTGCTATCTCCCCTTCACGGGCAGTGTGACACCAGGCGCCGAGCGAGCATTCGCGTCACCTGCACCGTGACGGCGCTAGACAGCGGCACCCCGCCGAGGTACTGACTCGATCAGATTAGTTTCGTATTGGATAACAAAGCCCGAACAAAAGCTCGCTCAGTGTTTCTCGGTTTCAGAGCACAAAGGGTGACGCTGCTGCCTTGGGTTATCTGTGGGAATCCCAGAAAGTCCCAGGCAGCAGCAGGAGTGCACAGGCCTGCGGGGCACGAGAGAAACCTCCCTGTGCTCGACTCCCCGGCCCATATCTGGCACTATCTGCTATTCCAGGGCAGGTAATCGCTCAGCAAGGGCGCTAGCTGGCTGCAAAGGTCGGGTCCAGAGGTGGCACTTGGCTCTTCCTGCTCCTGAAGAGCTCTCGTACACGTGCTGCAATAGGGAAAGTCACACAGCAGTTGCCTGGGATGAGGTCAAAGCAAAGAGCAGCTGCCAACCACTGCCTCGCTCCCTCACGCCACTTCTGTGAAAGCATCAGCAAGGCACAGGAATCATCCCTTGTTCTGGACATTATTAAGGCCATTTACATCCGGTTCGTCTCAGAGCCCTCCTGCTTTTATATTACAGGGTCAACATTCAGCTGCACCTCATTCTCATAAAGGATCACCAAAATCTGCGCGTGCTGGCCTGGCCAAGATCAATTTCCGCGATGCAGAAGGGAGAGGAAGCCGATCGACCACCGAGATACCAGAACAGACACAAGTTGAAGAAACAATTAAGCCCCTTTCCCGTTAAACCCATCAACCAAGCGAGAGCAGACCTGCAAGCCGAGGCCCACAGAGGGACCCTCTCCCCACTGCAGCCTCTTAAACGGCTCCACGGGTTGATGAGATCACGTTCCTCCTGCAATTAATTCTGCAGGAGGCGAGGATCAATGCTGTTGTAATTCATTTACTTATCTGGTTTTACCCAGTCACCAGAGCCTGGGCAACAACAGAATCTGTCCCAGCATCAGCTCATAGTGCCCGAGCACCGTCGGGAGCTCCCTGCGCAGGCTGGGCCAGCCCGCTCCAGCAGCTTCGCCCAGCAAGCGCATCCCGCGTGTCCCGTGAACGGCTCCAATTCCCAGGGAACGCAAATCCAAATCTGCAGAAATCACAGCCCCGAGGTGCTTCGAAACCTCATTTCAGGCTTGCTGAGAAAACAAAAGCAGGACTAAAGAGAATTAACACACCTCGCTCTACAGCTAATCAAGAGGAGGAAAAATATATTAATTTGCTCTGCTCTGCTGCCATAAAGGCATTTCACGCGACCGCTCTAAATGGATGTTCTCTGCTTTGTAACCAAGCGTGTAACCAGCAATTTAACCCAACGTTCGTGACACTGTAGCTGCTACGAAGCGGGAAGCGAAGGCATCTCCGAATGAATCACGCGGGAAGACGACAGAGATTATGAAGGAACAAGCTTCTGTTTACACACGTGTCTGGACATTCAACAGCTACCAAAAACAACAAGGAACCCAAAAGCGCAGGGCTGCACAGGCTGACCTGGGCACTTCACAGCATCAAAACACAGAGCTGGCACAAGGCACCCCTGAACTGCGCAGGGTCCCTGGAGTCGTTCCCCTTGCACTGCTCTTTGCTTCCCGTAAGCCAGGGAGATGTTTACCTCCTGTAAACGGGATTCTGGGATTCTCCCACGCATTTTCAGTGTCTAAGCTAAACAATTTTAAAACATAGAAGCAAAGAACATATCACAAATAAGCTCATTTGTCACAAATAAAGCAATGGGAAGAGATTCTATCCCAGTTTCACTCAATTCTTATCATGTGCTCGACAACCATTAAGACAACAGGTTCTTCCTATTCCCTCTGTAGCACATTTCTAAAGGAAACGAAGACCATGGTCACAAAGCACCAATTTTCCCCAAAGACACTGGGAGCTCTGTACCTACCTGAGGAAAATCACCATTTTTTGGTAAGAAGTCAGTGGGGTCCACAGTTGCACAGTTTATATCCAAGAAGTGTGGTCTGCTGATGGAATTCATATAAAAATTGTGCGGAGAATTAAAATATTGCCTGCAAGGAAATGGGAAAAGCAGCAGTTACTTCCTGCCGGTCCTGAGAATTTCCCAGGTTTCTTCAGCCTCCACCATCAGCCATGAACCAGCTATTCTGGGACACATATAGGAGAGCAATTTTAAAAACCTGTATTTATCCAGAAGAGGTGTCTACAGGGCAAAATAATAAATCCATGAATTACATCCTACTTCCCAGACTCGCTAGTGTAAGAGCCTGGAAAGCTGCACCTCAAGCATAAGAAATTCCCCAAAACTCAGGCAAACTTGGAAAGGCTCCTTGCACGGAGAGGGCCCAAAGGATTAACCGCTTGAGTCCCAACTGCAGAGCAAAGCGCCGCGGTGCCGCGTGCCGGCGGGCGGGAGATGCCAAGTCCCAGCTCCACGGCACAGCCGGAGCTGCGCTCCGCTCATCCCGGGGAAGGACCCACTCCACCTCTGGCGAGGGATTTCACCAGATCCATGGGATCTTTGCTTAAAAGGAGATAGATATAGGATAGATAGGGACATGCAGAATGATTAGACCAACTTGTTAGCCCTGACGTGACTCTGTGTTAGCCCTGATGTGCTGGGGATGCAGCTGGTTAATCACGCCAGCTAAAGCAGCGCTGCAGCCACGCTAACGAAGAGGGAGACAAAGCAAAGCTCTGACTGCTGCCCCGGGCAGGGCCCCACGCGGCGCTTCCTCCTGCCTCCATGTCGGAGCTGCCACCCAGCAAGAACACGAGTGGGCAGGGGCTGCCCAGCGCCTCCCCGCGCTCCGCAGCCCATCCCGTCCTCCTGCCACAGCCAAGAATGTGCCCGGAGCCAGGAATGTGCCTCGTCATCCTTCCCGTAAGGGGCGCGCTCGCTCGGCGTTTGCACGGGGCAGGACACAGCGCTGCCCGGTGGGCCGGCTCCTCCCGCCACAAACAGCACCGTTGGCTGCAAAGTGGGGCACAAACCCAAGGGAAAGGGAGCCCCGGAGCAGGGCACTGCCAGGGGACACTTATGCAGCTCAAATGCCGTACGCGGCTACCACTTCTTTAACCTCCCAAGCCCAACACTTCCGTGGGATTTATCTGCAAATACAGTTTTCTCCCTCTGCTAACTACATTTTTATCCCTCCTCTGAATCTGCCGGGCTAATTCAAAGCTCTAGACAAACGCTGGGAATGAATGAAGTGTGGCATTGGTGTAACACCAACACGAACTAACCAGGAGGGAAAGGAGCAGCACAAAGTCACACACAGGACACCTTTAATTACACCACAAAAAGGAGTGTAACTGGAAGAGGCAGCAGCATGAGCCCTGCTGTACTGCCAAGCAAAAACGGGAAAATGCCCTCGCTGCAAGGCTGCCCGCACAAAGACAGAAGCTTTGGTGTCTTTTAAACAAATTTCCTAGCATGAAAATGCTAAGAAACAGGAAAAACCTGCTTCAGGACAAAGCTGTTGCTATGAGAATAAGCCTTGTCCAAACACAGCCATTTGCAAAGGAGATTTCTTCAGCAAGAGAAGTTTGGGTTAACTCTATCTGCATTTCCCTATTTTGTAATGCTGTCTATAATTAGAAAACATATATATATTTTAACTTTTCATCAACTACTTTTTCCCACTGAGGACTGCTGCTGTAATGCGCTAACCCTAAGCCCCATCAAAAAAGATCTAACTAGAGTTTTAAAACATAAAAGGACTTGTTTCTTTTTCCTGAAGCACACTTTCACCTGAAAGGTAGTTTTTAGAATTATCGGGATCTGAAAAACAGGAAGCTAAAGCTGCAGCTGCAGCTAAATCATTCTCTAGCAAATAAACACTAGTGAGCTGCGTTCCCCCAAGCAACCGTCCCAAAGTCAACAAGGCGCCTGCGTTCGAGGAAGGCCTGCGGCCGCAGGATCGCGGCTATAGCGCTTCCCACAGAGTCGACACAAGCAGCAGAGACAGGCACTAACTGGCAAGAAAACGAGGGGCCAAACACGAGCGAATGCTCGAGGAGAAAAGAAAGAAACAGATAAACACAATCTAATCTTGTGGTTCAATATGGCAAAACAGAAATTCTGTTAGAGCTCTCTGGAGGATTCACCAAGTGTAACTTACAGGAATCACGCTCAAAACGCACACCCTCTTCCAATCACAGCCAGACCGGCTAAGAGCAAAGCCTGAGCTTATGTGCGAACGTCTCAGGAGCGCGACGCCTTCCTGGGCTCCTGCGCAGGGATCTGCTCTCCTCATCCCAGCCGTCCTGGCCTAAGTCCCCGACGCAGGGGACCCGGCACAACTAGCGCTGAGAAAAAGTCTCGTCTGAGCCGACCGCTGAAGGTTTAGCTGGAATGTCACGGCAGATCTCCCTGCTTTTCCATTAGGGTGCTAAAATATTCTTAGGAAGAGGTTAAGCTAAATCCTTAAGCCCCCAGAACAATTTCTAGCTCACAATATCAAGTTCTATTTCTCTTATTTCCTTCCACCTCTGACCTAAATAAAAACACATCCTGTGTATCTGCCACTCCCTGCATTCACGCAGGGCCCAACGCAGCAGCAACTGTCTTTTGCCCTTCAAAATGCCAGAATAAGGGCACAGAGATTCCTAGAGGAGTTTCTGGCCTGAAAACACACGTGGCCTGTGCTTCCCCCCACCACACAGTGTCACCGTCACCATCCAAAGGTTACCCAAATCTACTGCCACTCTGTGCCTCAGAGCACCAAACCGTGCTCTACACTAGACAGGTCTGCTTAGAAGGAAGCCAGAATTTATCACAGGAGCTCATGCTCATCACCCCGCATCTTGCGGGATCCGCCTATCAGTGACGATCAGTTATAACCAGAGGAAAAAAGTCGTAACCTGTGATAAACCCGGGGCTGTGCAGCTAGGGGCTGTGTGTGTTTTTCAAGAGACACAAAATGGTAATACTTAGTCAGCTTCCAGGCATCTCTACAGCAGTAGCTGTGCTATGTTCTAGCAAAGTCTGCCACCTTTTACCAGCAATATCTTCTTCTCTGCACTACCTCTATCAGGCTAGAGGCTGTATGACATGTTCCTTCAGCATGGCTGTGCTAATGGGGTGTTTTATGAACTCCATTAGTGGAGCAAATCCATGCTAAAAGAAGGCTGTTCCTCCCTTGCAAGCAGCTACCAGGTTTACCAGAAATCAAACTTTTTTTTTTAAGCTGCTTGCTGCGTTTTCCAAGATGTAGCAGTTTATGAAATGCCACAAGATCAGTGTGATGCAATTATTTCCCCATCAGTTAGTGAAATAAAGTAAACAAGCAAAGCACTAAAGAAACAGTTGAATCATGGGGCGTGCAAGAGCAGAGGGGTATTGTAGCAAGGAGAATAGCACTCACTGGTTTTCATTTGGGAAAGATGAAGCTGGGAAATAGGCAGGGTAGCTGTTACTCCAGGCATCGGGAACCAGCATGGAATTCTGGAAGCAGAAATTAAAAAGAAAAAGTCACAACAAATGCAAATCTGAGGCCCAAGGTTTGTGTCTGTTCCCTCTTCAGTGTCTAACACAAGCAGAAGTGATTTTTAATCTCTCATAGCAAGAGATATTAATCCCATATGCTCTAGTGTGGGACTTTTTACAATTAGTCTTTCATTTGTCTTTTTAACTTTTACATGGCAAAACTCAAAAGCAGAGCTACAAACAGCAATGGAGAAGTGCAGGGTCTTGTGGGCTGCTTCAGGGTTTGCTTTTTATCCCGCTCAGACCAAATGCATCAGGGACCAAGCTTTGTTTTAGCACCGTATCAGGACAAACAAAATCCCATCTCAGCTCTGCAACTGGTGGCAACAGTCCCAGCAGCTCAGAGAGACAAGCTGGGGAAGCACCAAAGTTTGCACCTCTCTATAATCCCTTCACCTCCCTCCCTTGGAGCCTGCAGTCTGCCAGCTTCCAAAGTGGTGTCGTTTTAATCTCAGCCTTATTTTTCACCTCCCCCTTCAAAGATAGGGTCGGCTGTGACAGGCCTCACCCCTCCAGCAGTGCCAAGCGGGGCTCGGCCCCGAGAGCTGCCTGGAAAGGCTCGCAAGGAGCCGCATCCTGCGGGTGGCTCTGCCCGCAGCCTGCACCGCTCTCCCCGTGCCTCCTGCCTCGCCGCGGGCGCTCACCTCCATGGCTGGAATGGCAAGCGGGGACGGGAAGGCCGGGGCACCGTGCAGTGCGTCGCCCGGCTGCTGGTGCTCGTGCTGAGGGCAGTGCTCCCCGTCCATGGCGGGACGCGCCGAGGGCATCAGCCTGCGTCCTGCCGCATGTATCCTCGGCGGGGAGTGCCGGGAGCGCCTTATCTGGGCTCTTCACCACACACCATGTCCTAGGACAGACACAAAGGGCACAGTGAGGGTCTATGAAGGAGGAGAAAACGCATCCAAGAGCGAACCCAGCTAAGCAAGCAGCAAATAGACGTTAGGCTGGAAGCACTGCCGCCTCCTTGGGCCGGCACGCGAGGCCAGCGCAGCTCCCCGGGCCCATCCTGCTGCACCCCCCGGTCCAGAGAGGCTGCTCCCCAAACGCCGAGACCTTCCCCCTTGGTCTCCACAGAGCAAACTCTGCATTAACTCCGCTCACCTACTGAATACGAGCCCTTATCAGCTGCCTTTCCCTGTTGCAAGAGGAGCTTTCAGGATCATTCACATCCTGGATTTTTGCCAGTTCACTCTTCAGAAAAGCCTAACGCAAGGCTACTGCTCTAACAAGGATTAACCTCATGATAATACATTGTCTTCGGTGTCACATTCTTGCAAAGACTCCCAAAGTAACTTCCAACATGTTTAACTGGGACTCAGAGCCCCTACTCACTCCCCAAAGCTGCTCTCAGTGAAGTAGCAGGTGGTTTGAACAAGAAATGGGTGAGGGAAAAGCCCTTGGGTGGGTTGGGAAGATCTGTGGATCCCGGAGCCTTGCAGGCTTCCCAGGCAGCGAAGCCCCAGCATCTCCCCAGACAGGCTTGGACAGGCTTGTGTCCCCTTCAGACAGGCACCGCGGGACACAGCAGAGCAGCCGGAGCTTCTCCTCCTATTGGCCTGCCCCCGAGAGGCAGGAAACACGGACCCCATCTCACCGCCCTTAATGGGTTTTATCACTGAAGTTTTATTGTTTTGCCTGGTCCAAGTATGCAGGTACTGTGACTCACCCCAAGGAAACTAATCCTTAATGGCTGAACAGAATCAAAGTCGTTTCTAGCACCTGCAGAGTAACAAAAAGCTATTTTAAAGCTGTTTTTCTGTTGAATTCTCCATATAACCCCAAGGGGCATCAAGCTTCAATTTGATTTGACTCAGAAAAATGACAGTAAAAAGCAATCTGTACAAACGTTAAGAGCAAGAAATGCTTCCATAATTTCTTTTGAATTTCATCCTATCTTTTCTGGTCCCTCTTCTCTCTTCTCCGACTATTTGCCATCAGAAGCCTATAGCATGAGAGCCAAAGAAATTAAACCAGCTAATGTATTTTCATTGAGCAAGGTACTGAAGCAGAAAAACTAAGTAAACCAAAATGAAGATTCAATTTAAAATACGCCAGCTTTGATCATTTAGCAGCTACTATTGGCTACAAGCAGTATTTTTGAAAAGTCATTTCTGAGTCAGAGTCCTTTTAAAAATAAGTGACCTTTCAGCTGACAAAATTATTTCTGCATTTGTAATGGAAAGTGAAATTAAAGTGACTGTTTATTTCATTTGCTGTGTGGCAGCAGCCACAGCGGGAGGGCTCCCGAGCGGGACCCGCGTGCGAGCAGCCCCAGCGCCTGCAGGAGGAGTAAACGATACTCCTTGTGCAGCAGAGACGGGAGACGGACACAGAGAATTTGGTAAAAAGCTCCTGGACGAAGCCCTCGCACTCGGGAGGCCTCGTGGGGACAGAGCAGGGGTATCCAACCACCTCTGCTGCAGCTCTGCAGCACGGCACAGAAACGTCCTCACCAGACAAAGACTGCGGAGCCAAAACATATGCCAGGGGCTAAGCACTCTGTGGCTTCAAATATATATATGTGTTTCCCCTTTTCTTTGAGATAAAGGGCTTTAAAGCCAGTGGGTTTATGCATTTTCCTTGGAAAATACAATGAAACTCCAGTTCCAAGGAACAAAGTATATACATCAGCTATAGTAATTCTGGGCTATCTGAAAAGATTATTAAGCTATAAAAACTTGGACCATTTTAATTAATCTCTAACAGAATAAATATTCCTTACAAAGGCCCAGAGTCACCTAGATCCCTTTCATGGGCTTCATTTCACCAGAGATTTACAGCAGTCTCATTCTTTTACAAGCAGAACGTGTTTCTTTTTACGACACCATAAAATCCACACTCAGCCTTTATAGTCCATAAGCCCGGAGGCACAAATAACCCAAAACATTTAATTGGTACCCAGTATCCTAATTAATAGTGTTTTACTGGCCTAAGGCCTCTTAATTCCGGAGCCAAACAGCAGCACCGGGGCTCCCAGCGCGCAGCCTGCCGAGCGCTTGTACTTTTGCAGCCTCATAGGAGGCTGCTTAACCAGAGCCCTCCCCGAGCAACCCGGGGGCAGTGCCACAGGTGCCCCTGCCCCGCAGGGACGCGGCCCCTCATTAAGCGCAATATTCGTCATGTTAGAGCTGCTGAACACACGGGACAGCAGAGGAGCTTCCTCCAGCAGCCCAAGCCCAACGTCGCAGCTATCGGGCTGCTCTACGCGTAAAAGACTGAACACGCCGATATTCACCAGGGCTTCTTCCTCCAAACCCACGTGACTTATTGCAGCAGCTCTGGGACACGAGCGCACACTTTGACCCCACGCCTGTGGTGAGGGATGCAGGGAGAGCAGCCTCTTGAGCAAGGAACGAGCAACGCGAAGCCACGGCCCAGGACGTGCTCGCTTACTTCTCTGGGGTTTAGGGCGGCCACCTCCTTTTCCTTCAAGTTGTTCTTCTCTGATGCCACTTGGTGGTCCATGAGAGAGTCTATAAAATTTTAAAGCACATGTAAGGAAAAAACGAATAAAGACAAAGGTTTAGCATGCTCCCGCTTACCCCCACAGTACAAACCGGATGAAATTGAAGAGTTTGCTTAAAATAAATAAAAATAAATTTAAAAAAGAATGCAAGAAGCCCCCCCCCGCAAGCTCCCAGGACCATGGGAGCATCCAGAATTCAGGAAAGATGGGATTCCTGCTGCCCGTGCTCGTGTCACCAGAGCCCCGGCGCGGGCACTAGGACGGGGGATGTTGCTTTTGCAGCTGGAAGCAGTGACAGAGCAGAAGGGGAAGCCCAACAACACGAGGATAAGGTTTCTTGCTCCAAGAACAGGAACTTCCCTCTGCAGGCGTTGCTCCAGCAGCCGATTGTTCTTGCACACGCAGGGGACGGAGCAGGGATTGACAACCCTGACAAACGCATCAGATCTGCACCTTTATGTCCAGGCAGCCTAGGCTGAATAATGACGTGGTTTCCTACCTAGTGCCATAAAGTCACGGGAGCAACGATTAGATCACAAGTCATTCTGATTAAGTTACATGCAGAGTTTCACTATGATCATTCCTTCTCTCAAAGGTTTCCTCTCTGCCTCGGCTGCAATGGGCAGCTTTAGGCTGCAATTTCTATGGAATTTGCCGTGCCTGGAGGTTAGGGAGCACAGACGCTGCTTCTTTAAGAGCTTTTTGCATAGCAGCAGCAATCTGTGGGACCACTACTGTGTGAGGCAACTCCTGACTTGAAACGCAACAACCTTCTCTGCAAGAATCGGGATCACAAGAGCTACGGGCAAGAAGGGCAACAGCCCCGGTAGCCGGGAAAGGTGCAGAGAGGCTCTTGTCCATGCGGGATTGCAGGCGCTTCCTCCTTGCGGCCTCCATCAAGGAGGATCGCTGGAAACCACAGGTATGCAGCGGCCAGAGCCAAATCTACGGTCATAAATTAGCATGATGATGACGAGCTCCTCAGAAATTTGATCTGGTTCCTTGTCCTGCTTGCGATTAACTGCAGGCCAACAGCAAGATGCCGAATCCATCCCCTTGGTCCTGCTCCGTCTCCTGGGTCCCGCTCCTGCTCCGTCCCTTCCGTCACCTGCGCCAGCAGCAGCATCCACCCACCCACCCAGGACAAGCAGCGAGAGCTGCGGTTAGGCAGGACTCGTAGAAACGCAGTTTACACAAATTCCCCAAAGAAACAGGAACTCAACACTCTGGAACTCCTAAAAGCAATTCTTGTGTCTCAATAGCCAAGCCAGCTTCAAGTTCCTCCTTAATGTTTCTTCCTGCCATACGCTTTGAGCAGAGTTTGTACCGCAAACCCTCGTCCGGAGCAGTGGGGGGAACAAACTGGAATTAGCCCTGATTCACGGGCATGGATTCACTCCATGACCCAGGAAAGCCAAGGTGGGGACGTTAGGATCTCCCTGTGGAGAGGCTGCTCACAGGGCTATCCCGCACACAGGCAGAGGGACGAGCCAGGATGAGGTGTCCCGTGGGCACGGGACGCAGCCCGGCCGTGCTCCGCACACGGGTGTCGGGAAGCACAGGCATCCCGCGGCAGCAGACTCCCGGCTCACAGACCTGCAGCATTCCCATTCCCCGTTACAGCAGCCGTAGGCTCCAGCAGACACCACCTGCGACCCCGCGACCGGGGGCTGGTACCTGCCCCCCTGCACCTACGAGAAGGTGCCTGTGAAATGAGGCCATGCCCACAGCGCCCGCAGACCCGCTCCGTCCTCCCGAGGGCAGCAGTCTTCCACCCGCCCCGTTGGATGCATCCTGGCTGCCCTTGGATCTCCAAGGGATCATCTGTTTCCTCCCCTCAACTCCCTCCGTCAGGAACCTTGGTGCCCTGGTCCTGGCTGGGAACCTCCACACGGATTTCCTCGCCGCCTGCGTCACCGCGGCCCTGGCGGCGGCTTTGGAGAGGCCGGCAGGAGGGCTCAGAACAGGGGCTGCAGCCGAGGCCCGGGGCAGCCGCGGCGCCAGCGCTGCCCGGAGCGCCCGCGGGGCCGCGGGGCGGGGGTCGAGCGGCGGGCTCTGCCGTGCAACGGTGCGGAGGGGCTCTCACCACGGGGCCAGGCGCGTTGAGGCCGGCCGTGCTGCGGGCGAGCGCAGCCCCGACCCGGCACCGCGCGTCCCGGTTCCACACGCACCCCTCGTGCCGCGCTCCGGGGGCTACTACCACCGTTCCTCCGTGAGGACCTTCCCGTGGGGCTGCCGCCCGGGAGCCCCACGCGGGCAAGGGCCCAATTCCCAGGACGCCCCAGAGCGCGCGGGGAGGCCGGCGGCTCCACGA